CAAAATGGGCATGTACTAACGTGCCATGGACATTATAGTAGAAATTAATCACAATTAAAAGATCAAAAACTAACCGAAGATAAAAACTTAAAAAGAATACAACCCACCACCTCTTTAAACTTGAACTTCACAATATGCCCATGTCACGTCAGCTATTAACGATTTTGTTGACTCAAATGCCGGATAGGGTAAACAATGGCATTAGGGTAAAGCAAGATGATATCATAATCTCATAGAGCATCTTCTGAGGTTTAAGTTATTTGACGAGAAACAGAATACCCTATTCATAGTAAACAAACTGCTAAAGTAAACAATCGACTCGACTGCCAATTCGGAACTATAGCCCACAACTAGGAGCTGTATTTTTGGTTACATTAAACTAAACTGCTCAGAAACACACCGAAGAAACTGCTTGCGATGCAAATTGTTTCATTGTGCCTCAAAACTTCGTATCTGTTGTCCACGTACCTTGCACGCTAGGATGTTTGGTTACATGTCTAAGTCTTCAGTTTCACCACTTTTCTCCCCAGTTGGTTTCTTAGTCTGTTTGCATACTGAAACAATTCTTCCCCTTATTTAAACAATTATTTCTCTTGCTCGTCGATTCCCACAACATCCTCGAAGAAGCATTGTAAGAAGGAAGCAGAAACTATGATTAATGATAGAGATTTTGATTTTGATGTGTGATTTCTTAGGATGGATGGTGGGTTATATGGAGGAGAAAGACAAAATTAGGATGTAGATAATGTCACGTGGCATGTCGTCATTCGTTAAAAATCTGATCAAAATCTTTTCTCAAATATTGTAAACATATTGTCACACGTGACGTGACGTGATTGATCAAAATCTTTCAAGAAATTTATCCTCAACGATTCTGAAAATGTAACGACACGTGGCAAGACTGTATTAGATAAAAATCTTATCGAAATCTATCACGAAAAATTGTCTTTTCGGATAATGACACATGAGACAATGAAAACGGATTAAAAATCTTATCCGAAATTACAAATAAAATTATTTTGTATTATTTTATAAAATAAAAAATACTAATATTTTATCACCTATTGACATGACTATTCAGTTACAGGTAGAGATGCAAAAAGTAATTACTGTTCATTAAAGATAGTTCCTGTTTATTAAAGACTATTTAGGAAGTTATCCAGAAGGCTTTGATGCTGGATTTGCTCTTATAAGAAGAGTGCTTTTCTAAAATATTGGTTCGAACTTCAAAGTGTATTTCTATAAAGTGTAATTGTATCGAGGGTTTCTATGTGAAAATCCCATAAGTTTGGATTTTGCAATTGCCACACTCCTCTCAGTGCCATCTGCCACGCATTCATAAATCATTCAATCAGAAATTTATACCAACAATTGAAAACAAATAATGAGTCGAAATTTTGTTAAATACATACAAAAATTTCTAATCACAACAACCCTAACATTATATCATTTCATAAAAAAATTTAAAAAAAAATTAGTTGTCCGACTTACCTTTTTCTCGAAGCTCTGTTACGATGAAGCTTGGATACGGCGTCGATAATGAGAGAGGAAGTAGGTGGAGGTGAGATTGTGGAGGCGGATATGGAGTCGCCTCGTGCTTTGGAGTGGTGGTGGACCGTCGCGGCAGCCCAGCGAACAGAGAGCGAGAGAGAGAAGGAGAGGAATAGTTGTGTGCCAGGCTTCTTACGTTTTTTTTTTTTTTTTTTTTTTTTTTTAGGGTAAACTTTACCCTTGAACTTTCACCTCACTTTCGACTTCCCCCTGATTTTCTTTTGGAAAATTAAGGATTCAAACTAATTTTTTTAGCCAATTTGCGCCCTACCGTTAGTTTTTCATATATTCCATCCATATTTCCGTTAAGTAAGACATGTGCACAACATGTGAGGATAGTTAGTCCATTTCACTTTTAAAAATGATTAAAAACTGAAAATAAATAATAATAAAAATTTTCCCTCTATTTTTCCCGCTAATCCTATCCTCAATTTTAATTTTTCCCCTGTCTATCATGAGAAATGACATATGGTGTATGTCTTCATAAGTAGCTAAGTTAATCTTTTTCTTGAAGCATGTACACCATTTTCTCTAACAATAATTTGGCAAATGCCATGGTGTTATTGTCTCCAAAGCAGTACATTAATTAAGAACATGTCCATAAAAAGGCCCTTTCTGTGCTCCAGATTAGAGTCTTCCTTTTGAACTAATGTGTGATGCTTTTGATTATGCAGTAGGAGCAGTTTTAGGACAGAGAGTTGGCAAGCTGCCCCATGTTATTTATTATGCAAGCAGGACCCTTAACGATGCTCAATTGAATTATTCGACCACTGAAAAAGAGTTGCTTGCTGTGGTTTTTGCATTGGAGAAAGTCTTATTTGATTGGTTATAAGGTAATTGTATTTTCTTATCATACAGCTGTCAAGTATTTACTTACCAAGAAAGAGGCTAAACCCAGGTTGATCCGTTGGGTTCTTTGTTGTAAGAATTTGACTTAGAGATTCGAGATAAAAATGGGTCAGAGAATTTAGTTGCAGATCATCTTTCTCGGTTGGTTTCAGCTTTGAAAGATGATGAAACAGAGTTACCATTGAATGATAGTTGTCTGGACGAACAACTCTTCGCCATTTCGGAAACAAATTTTCCTTGGTTTGCTGATATTATGAATTACTTGGCTACCAACGAATTTCCTGGAGTGAGTAATCGTCAAGACAGAAAAAAAAAACTTCAATTTATGGCCGTGCATTATTTTTGGGACGATCCATATTTGTTCAAGCATTGTCCAGATCAAATTATTCAAAGATGCATTCCCAAGGAAGAGCAGTAGAGCGTGCTTACTTTCTGCCATACCTCTGTATGTGAAGGACATTTCGGGGGCAAGAAAACTGCTGCTAAGGTACTACAATCTGGATTCTTTCGGCCTTCTTTGTTTAAAGATGCATATGATTTTGGCAAGATAAGTGATCGCTGCCAGAGGATGAGAAATATTTTACACACAGTAATATGATGCCACTCAACAACATTCTAGAGGTTGAGTTATTTGACGTGTGGAGTATTGATTTCATTGGACCCCTTTCCAAGCTCTTATGGTTATTAGTATATATTGGTGGGTGTTGACTATGTTTCCAAGTGGGTTGAGGCTTTGGCTACTCGAACCAATGATCATAAAGTTATTTTGTCTTTCCTCAAGGACATCATATTTCCTCGGTTTGGGACTCCTAGAGCCATTATCAGTGACGGCGGCACTCATTTTTGTAACAAGCCCTTTGAAGTTCTCATGAAAAAGTACAACATAACCCATAAGGTTTCTACACCTTATCATCCTCAGACAAGTGGTCAAGTTGAGGTTTCGAATAGAGAAATCAAGAGAATTTTGGAAAAGACGGTCAACACTACGAGGAAAAATTGGTCCATTCGTTTGAATGCTGCTTTGTGGGCGTATAGAACTGCATATAAAACCCCCATAGGCATGTCTCGTTATCGACTTGTCTATGGGAAAGCTTGTCACCTTCCAGTGGAACTGAAGCATAAAGCTTTGTGGGCTATCAAGCGACTGAATTTTGATTTAAACAAGGCTAGAGAAGTACGAAAGCTTCAGTTGAATGAACTAGATGAACTGCGGGATGAAGCCTATGAGAATGCAAGGATATACAAGGATTAAACGAAGGCATATCATGATAAGTTAATTGTTCGAAAAGAATTCTTTCTGGGTCAGAAAGTGTTGCTCTATAACTCTAGACTCCGTCTTTTTCCAGGTAAACTCAAATCCCGCTGGTCTGGTCCTTTCTTAGTACAACATGTTTTTCCTCATGGTGCAGTTGAAATTCATAATCCCAAGGATGGATCCACGTTCAAAGTGAATGGACAAAGATTGAAGCTTTACTGGGAAGATGCAACGCACGAAATTTATGAAGCTTTATATCTTGATGAGTGCCCTGGTTTCTCCATTTAAGTTTGGGGGTCGTCCGTCTGGCTGAAGACGTTAAACTTAACGCTTGTTGGAAGGCAGCCCAACTAGGTGTTTTATTTCCTTTTCTTTTAGTTTATTTTTGTTTTGTGTTTTTTATGCTTCTATCATGTTTTGAATGTTTATCTAATATTTGCAGATTTTTGCCATGTGCCTATGCTAGTGAGTGGAAGTGAATGGGTGATTTGTCAACTTTGATACTTCATTAAAGGGAGTTCTAAATCCTATCTTTGCAATTTTTATTTTGTTTTTTCAATTTTGGTCTTTCTAGTTCTTTGTTTTGATGAATGCATTGCGTGTATGAGTTTTTGCAAACATTGAGGACAATGTTTCATTTAAGTTTGGGGGTGGGCACTTTAATTTTTTCGTTTTCATTGCTTTTGTTTTAAGAATTGTCTAAAAAATAAATAAATAAAAATTAGGTCGCTCAAGCGAGCATTACATTGGGGTCTGCTACTCAAGTGATGGTTTTCTTCCCCTCAAGAGGAAAGTAGTATGTGTTCTGTTGCTCAAGTGGCTATGTAGTCCGCTCAAACGATTTATTTTTTATATAAAAAAAATTGTTACTTTTTTTGTTGTTAGTTTTTTTTTTTTTTTTTTTGTTTCTTCCAACACCTATGATGAGAATTGGATTTAAGTATGTTGTATGATTGATATGAGATTCATGAGTATTAATTATGGCCTACGAGTTATTCACTTATTGGCTCTAATTGACATGACTTTCCTTGAAAATTCTTGAGCACATTAACCATGTTAATATGACAGTTTCATGATATAGAGACTTTTATGTGGATTTTGTGAGACTTGTTTAACCCTTGTGAGCATTTGAGCCTATTCAAGATTGAACTATTATGTGTCACTCTCATTTATACTTGTGTGAATGGTCTCATTTTATTTGCATTTCTAGAACTTGCCTTAAACCTCTTGGTACACTCATCAATTCATGTAACAAACTTGGAAGTGATAAGGCATTTGTTTCTCTCGTTTGAGCCTTTCAAGCCAACCATTATTATGATTTTCCCTAGTTAGCCCTGTTGAGCCTTGAATGTGAACCTTTCTTGTTTCTTTAACCTAAATATTTCTCCCTACCCTTGTTTTTTTTTTTTTTTAAAACAAAAAAAAATTCCTACCTGTCTAAAGAGCTTGTAGAGTAGTTGTTAGGGTCGAATATTGTAATTTCAATCTTTCTCATTTTTTTTTCAAGAGAAAAAAAAGAAAAAAAAAAAAAAAAAAAAAAAGAAAAGAAAAGAAGAGAAAGTAGTTGTTACTACAAGAAAATGAAATGAGTGTTTCAAAGACCAGACCAAATGAAAATAGTGTTTCTGCATAGAGTAGAAGTGCTTCATATATCTTTTAGATTATTATTATTATTATTATCTTCAAATGTAATTGTAAGCTCTACAAGTCATTTAGATTTTGTGTTTTTCTTACCCTTCTTTGTTAGCCAATTAACTCTTATCCTCAATACAACCTTGTGAAAGACCCTTGATCCAAGTAGTTATTTGATATTGATACCGAGTTAGGTGGACAAGCAAGTATATGAAGGCATGTTTAATAAGATCACTTGAACAAAACACACAACCTGCAAATATGAGTGAATGAGTGTATACCATGTGAGCAATTGGAGTCGAGCTAATCTGCATATACATATCCGGATCATGAAAAGTTGTGTTAATAATGGTTAATGCTCACACACTTCACGGATCTTGAGTCGAAGTTTGTGAATTGTTTGATTTGAACTTCTTTAATACCTGTTGAGATCATATTAATCATGTTTATGAATTGAATTTCCTGAGGATGCCATTGTTGGAAGGATTGCTTTGAGTTTTATTTGATTTTATTTTGTTTTGTTTAGCTTGAGGACTAGCAAATCTAAGTTTCGGGGTACTTGATTGACTCATATTGATACAAGTTTTTATTACCTTAGCACTTGGATTATGTATAGTTTTCATCCCTTATTAGTAGTTTACTTGTGATTTTCTTATTTTGTAGGTAGGATTAATTGCAAATAAAGGGATTTTGAGGCAAATAAGAGGAGTGTTGAGAGCCTAAAAACAGTCTGTAAACATTCAAAGGAAGATCACAAGATATCAAAGCATGCCTAAGACATGGAGGTGACATAATTTGGAAAATCTCGGATATGGGAGTTTCTGTCCAGCGACTTTGATGGGCTGTCATTTATTCATCCAGAGGAACCTCATTGCATACTATATATGGATGAAAAGATATGGAAGTCTTCTTTCAAATGGAGTTCGAATCATGTCAATCCGATATTCCTGCAATGAATTATGATCGTCTTAGTGACTGCTGTTTGGAATTTCAGGTTCGGTCAACTTTAAATTTTAAGTGATTTGGGCCAAATTTGTGCAGTTCATTTGAATTGGAGATTTAATGCCTAACAAGTAAATTAGTCTGACTGTTAAAGAAATATAAGCTGCCCTTTTAGGCCCAATAATGCACTTAGTCCTCATCAAAATACAAGTGGAGGGTGGAGATGAAAAAAAAAAGAAAAAGGGGGGGATTGAACGGTTGGGATCCAAGAAGTTGTTGCAGCAGAGCAGGAGAGTAAAAGGGGGAATACGGCTAGAGATTTGGACAGCAGCAGAAAAAAAAACGCAGAAAAGGGGAAGGAAGGCAAGCAAGAGTTCAGGAGCTTTTGGAATGCAAACTTCTCCTTCGGTTTAAGGGTTTCTCATGTTTTTCTTATCTTTAATTATGTTTTCCATGACTATGTGTTTCTAAATTCTTTTGCTAAGGCTACATTGTAGCCATACAAGAATATTTTGTGTTTTTAGCTATTTGATTATCCAAGACAAGTTCTATTATGTTGAATCTCAAATTTTGGGCTTAATTCGCTTGTTTTTTCGTTCTTGACAATTGGCATCACTTGGATGAATTAATAAGTGTTTGTTGCAGGTTCATAGGCATATACCCATGTTATGTTCTTGTTCGAATCATGAATTTGAGATCACAATTTACTAGAAGCATACACCATGTTCTAGGTTTTGTGTGGTTGTATAAAAGTTTCCATTGTACTTAGGGAACTTCAAGTTGTGAAATCTAGGCATACACCATGCTAGGTTGCTTCTTAGAAGAATATAATTTGATGCATACATCATGATCGGATTATAGAGTTGGGAAACTTAATCATCAACATAGGAGTTGTTAATTGGATAGTTGATAGCTAAGAATCGGAATAGGATTGTTATTGGTGAAATTGGATGCCTTGGCCTTTAACGTCTTGTTTGTCCTTAAGTTTTAATGTTATTGGTTTATTTATTTTCTTAAACTTTCAGCAATTTTATCTTATAGTATTAATCTTCACAACCAATATTTCCTTTAATTTTCTTGCTCAATAATATTTTCAATTTCATTTGTGCGTTAAGTGGTTAGTTATCGAATTAAATCACCGTTCCTTGTGGGATTCGACTCTGTATTTGCACTTTTATACTATCTACGAACCGTGCACTTGCGAATAAACATGATTAGAATTAATCTATTTTAGGTTGCTCTAATTTACACATCATCCCTTACCCCTTTGAGGTAAACCTTTTTTTTTTTTTTCAAAATCAAATTACTAAATAATAATTTAATATGAAATTTTGCTTAATTGATATAGAATCATAGCGCAATATGGTTATTGATAGGAATCATATGATAATTGATGAATTGAATAGTTGAAACTAAATGAATAATTTATATGTTTATTGATTAATTGAATTTATGGTTTAATTAGTTATTAGTCATAGTAGATTTTAGTATTAAGAGTCTAAGACTTTTTTCCTCATTATATAGTGATGTATTGGAACGACACTGTAAGAAATAGTGCTTTATTCTTCCTTCAAAAATTTTGGGTAGTCTTCCTTCGAATATTTTGGGTAGTTCACAACAAAATGAGGTCACTAAGTTGAAATATTGGTTGATCTTCCTGCAAACCTTGGACTAAGACCTTGAATGATTGATTATAAGCCTAATTATCGTGAAGCAATTCGTAGACACTATCTACAAAAGATCGTTGTCAACCTAAAACCCACAAAATGCCAAGGACAAAAATGGGGACAACAGTCGATGTTTTATCATCCGTTGGTTTGACACTTTTGAGTGATTGGTGAAAGTTCTAGGATGGGTACTAGTTTAACCTAGAGGGAGGTGAATAGGTTCCAACTTAAAAAATCCAATTCAATTTTCAATTAATTTCCACATCACAACACTTATCAAATTATCCTACACATATGCAGTTAAAACAATAAATATAAGATGTAGGATTTAACGAGGCAAAACCCATAACTGGAAAAATCCTTAGGCTCCCAAGTCAAGACAAACACTAAGAGAAATGAATACAAAAAGGACTTACAAAACTTATCTTACTAGACACTCAACTAGAAGGTAGTTTTGTTTCCGCGCCTTTGCTACTCGATCTCTATTCAGCCTTCGAGTGGAAGTGGGACAACACTAATGTGACCGTCAATCACCTTCTCCTCGAACTTTGCAGATACTAACACGATCATGCAAAATGAATGTATGATGAAATGGTTTTTTTGAAAATCAACCAATTACGAAAATCACAAGGCACATTTTCATAATTGACTTCCAATTAAAGAACAAAGAAATATCATTGATCAAAAACTAATAATTTCTGTTTGAAAAACACTTGAACTCAAAATCGATTTTCTTGAAAACTTAGCACACTACTC